CCCCCTTCTGTTTCTCCTCTCCAGCCCTTTCCTCCTTTATTTCCTCTTCCCTCCCTTCTTTCCTCTCCCCTTTCTTTCTCCTCTCCCCTCTCTTTCTCCTCTCCCTTTCTCCCTCTCCCTTTCTCCCTCTCCCCTCCCTTTCTCCTCTCCATCCCTTTCCTCCCTACACTTCTCTTCTCCTCTCCAGCCCACTCCTATCCTCTTCCCTCCCTTCCTCCTATGTCCCTCCCCTCCAGCCCTTTCCTCCCATTCTTCTTCCCCCTTCCATTTCCCCTTTCCTCCCTTCATTCCTCTTCCTCCCCCCCCTTACTCCTCTGTTCCTCTGCAGCCCTTTCCTCCTTCCTCTTCCCCACCCTTCCTTCTCTTTCTCTTGCAGCCAGGGGTTGGATCTTATCCTAATGTAAGTTAGGTACCATCACTAACACCAGTTATTTGGGCCATGCTCCCCGGGGACCCACTATTCCAATGATTTAAGGAAAAGGAGCTGTTCTCCCCGGAGGCGATGATCCCACTGACACCAATGATTTCAGGAACCATTTTCCCCTGGGGCCACTGTCCTAGTCACAGTTCACCATCCAAATGTTTAACAAATTTGTTTGGCTGAAGAGACTCTTTAAGTTGCAGCGCTGGGGAATGCGCCATGCCCCCCCTTAATCTATATTCTTCTCCTCAGGGCCACACGCAGGACACCAACTCCTTCTTCATGTGTAAGAAGCTGCGCTCCATCGGGGTCAAAGTCAGCAGGATCTCCGTCATCCCAGACGACGTGGACGCCATCGCAGGGGAGATCGCCGCCTTCTCCTCCCACTATACTTACGTCCTGACCTCCGGCGGGATCGGCCCCACCCACGACGACGTCACCTTCGAGGCGGTGGCCAAAGCCTTTGGTGAGAACATCTTCCCGCACCCCGAGCTGGTGTCCCTGGTCCAGAAGTTCTTTGGTAAGTCCGACGCCTTGTGCCCGGAGATGAAGCTGGCGCGGATTCCCGTCTCCTCCAAACTAAACTACGGCACGGACAAACGCACCGGCGACTGCTTCAAGTACCCGCTGATCAGCGTCCGCAACGTCTACGTCTTCCCCGGCATCCCGTCGCTTATGGAGAGGGCTCTGGAGGGGCTGGACCACCTCTTCCGCAACGAGAAGATGCGGTTTTACTGCCGTGAGATCTTCGTCAACGCCGACGAGATGTCAATCGCCGCCGTGCTGGAGGAAGCCAATGCTTGTTACCGGCGGTACGTCAGCCTGGGCTCCTACCCGGATTGGGCCAACAACTACTACCGCGTGCAGCTGACGCTGGACTCTGACTCCGAATCGATGCTGGAAGAGGCCTACAACTTCTTGATGCAGAACCTTCCTCCGGGGGTAGTGGTGCCATTTGTCAGGGACCCCATGTCACAGGCCGCCGCCGAGGTCTACCAACTGGCACAGTCAGGTAACCAATAGGGGATCTCATTGGGGGTTTATGGGAAAATATAAATGTGCTTAAAGGGACGCTCCACTATATCTAGACTGCCAGGTGCCACACCCTGCAGAATCCAGGTTTTCACGCTGTCACTCATTTGAAGCCCAGATCCCCCAGTCTCAAGCAGAGCATGGCTTCAGTGATCGCTGATAGCAGTCATTTAACATTTCAGGCTGGGGGTGAATTATGTCTTCCTGCCAGGACAGAGGAAGGCAACAGATGGGTTCTATGTTCATCTTACATCTCTCAGCTGCTGTCAGGTGTATGTACTTATTACTATTGGCACTGGAACGTGTGGTTGCTCCTCTCCCACCAGGTCTCATAGCTGTGCAGGATATGGTAGGAGCTATTCCTCCTCTGCTCCTGCATGAGCTGTGCTTTCATTTGGGCTCTTTCTGCAAAGAATCCTTCCTGCCACCCTTACTGCAAAGAAATTCAACCTCTATATGAAAAGGCTTCTTAACTTTCATCATGAGATTACCTGTTATTTTTCACCTGCCTTTCAATCCTCACCAAATTCCCTCTGTCATTCGGTATTCTTGCATGTGAGCCCTCCTCTC